TGGCAAATTTGTCCCACATCGGTGGGCTCTTGAATTTTGGGGGGATTTTCCCCCCTATAAAAGGAAGTCTAATGTTTAGGATTTAAATACACCTCTCATTTGCCTTCTCATCTGTTTAAGGCATTTGTATCTTCTCTCTTTAGTATAATTTCACTTATATTTTTGGAGTGAAATAAAATATTGGTTGTGTCCGAGGAGTAGGCAAAATTAGTTGAACCTCATAAATTCTGGTGTTCCCTTTATTGTTGTTTTATTGTCTTATTTATTATTTGGTGGCTGTCATATTTTTTGGTATAGTAGTTGTGACTTATTCACACTATATACATTTGGCTTCCGCAACAGGTTCAAATACGCTAATAGTGCAAATATTCTTTACACAGTCCGGGTATATAAGTTAAATCCAAATCTCAAAGAAATCGACCATTAATGAATAATTAAGGCACAAAACATTTACAGCGGCCAGGTCACATAATTTACAAAATCCAAATAAAATAAAGCAAAAAGAGGGATAAATTTCAGGAAGTAATATAAGCCTAAGGAATTACTACACGTGATAACTCGAGTGATAATTGTGTAAATCTCTTTTTTCAAGTCCCTTGGGCAGAGGAACTAAATCTGTATTAATCTCGGTTAAACTAAGGTGTACATTAAAAATAAAAATTGTAGGCCTGCTGTTATGTTTCCAAAAGTTACCTGGTATTCACAAGAAAAAGTTACAACATCATTTGGAAGAGGAAGTGCTTCGTCGAGCAGCAGCAACTTACGTTGGAGCGGTGAAAGGAGCGAGTGTGTTTCGAGGCAGAGTTATTCCGCCACCTTTCACTGATACGTTAAGAGCCTTCGCAGAGTTACTAGCCCTGCTCACGAGATCTGAGTCGAGGAATACAACTACTACTGAGATGTCATCGTGAAAATGTCGACGGACTCCACGATCGATTTTCTTCAAGTCTGAGTACCTCATCTCCCTTTTCTTTGCTGCTTCTTGCAATGCAGTTTTCACTAACCTTTTAGCAATCCCCTGCAAAGTCAAAAAAACAGACGTTTAAGTTTGGTTCCAATGTTTTTCTTTTGCGGTTGACATATATTGCTCTGCATCGAATCTATATTGAGAACAAATTCAAAAAATTTATGTGCGACCACTTCTGAGGCGGCGATATTAGTCTTCTTATTATGACGCAATGGCTGCAGATTTAAATAAAGGAAACATGAAAATACCTTCTCGCCTGTAGGTAAAATCAACGAATAGCTAAGAAAATGACATGAGAATGTATCGAAGGGATATCTTACATTGCGTGGGTGATTCTGTACGATGTCAACAGCTTCTTGGTTACTTAGGTGTTCCCAGAGACCATCCGAGGCAAATATAATAAACTGATCTTGAGGTTGCAAAGGGTGCACCAAAATAGCAGGATCTGCGCTTAATATGGGCCTTCTAATCGGTTCACGGAGACGAAACTTAGCATACAAAGGCTCCCTGTTGAATTCAGCTTTCTTTAAGTACACATCACCAATGGATCTTGAAATCTGCAAGATAAAGTATAAAGATCATCTCAGAAAAGCAGATTATGAGCCATGCAAAAAAGCCATCGTAAATGAACTCACAGACGAAAGCATTATCTTTCATTAATAGCAATATATCTATGTTTCCAAACTGCTTATAAACATGCGCAATCATAACATATGGAATGCCTTACGAGAACTAAATTAATTTAGCGGTGCCCCAAAAAACAATGAGAAAATGGCAGCCCGGTCCACTAAGCTCCCGCAATGCGCGGGGTTCGGGGAGGGCCGTACCACGAGGGTCTATTATACGCAGTCTTACCCTGCATTTCTGCAAGAGGCTATTTCCACGGCTTGAACCTGTGACCTCCTAGTCACATGGCAGCAACTTTACCAGTTACGCCAAGGCTCCCCTTCCCAAAAAACAATTAAGTACTTATTCTAAGGGATACTGGGAATGTTTAAGAAAGTGTTATACAACACATCACCTCTTTAAGAAATTGAAGGTTTGCATTTTGACCATCCGAATATTATGCTGACATTCAAAAAGTAGAGCTTTACCATTCACTAGACATTTAAATCTATGATTTGGATAGAAAGAGTACCACAGTTCAAATCAAGGGCAGTAGATCACGCTCCTGACAAGTGGGTGCATTTTTGAAATTCAGAGGATACATAATTTATAGTAGTATTTACCAAAAGCTAAGAAGAGTAACAAGACCGGAGGACCATTTCAAACACTGGAAAAGAGTTATCATCATATGCACCTCTTAAATGGAAGGAGTCGCAACAAAACATTGGATCAGATACTCTACATGAGAAACACAAGACATGGAACTTGACGATCCCCCTTTTGTACTAGGGCTTCGGTTATCGAGGGCATAATAGGGCTAAATACTGCTAAAATTTTACTATTCCATCAATACAGTAGGCGAGGGCGAAGGCTAGTATTATAGTAAACTTCTCTTCAAAAGAATTCCAGCGAAGTAGTGAAGAATCCCCACAACAACCACAAAGGAGTATATAGAATTATGTAACCATCACAAACTTGAATTAAAGTTTAATAGGAAACAGAATTTGTTTTGCAATTGAAAGAACGCTGTCAGAAAAGTACCAATAATACGTTGAGCTGGGAAAACATATATAGAAACTGCTTAGGAATGCAAAGGAGATGTTACCTGTATGATACCCTTCACACGCCAGACGTTGTGCTTTAAAACTACAATTTGCGAGTCATCTGGATGCAAAGACTGCATCTCCTGCCTTACGGATTCAATACTCGCATTGTGTTCTGCAGACAGCTGAACAGAAAGAATCTCTCCAGTTGCCTTGACAAGTCTTCCCAAGACTGCTCGAGAGTCGCCAAGGTTGGCAATATATAATGTGCCGCTGCAGATAATTCCGACAAGGCAGCATGATCCAACAGCAGCAATCTGTGGTTTCACCGGCCATTGTTTTGTCACAACAGAGAGGAAACCCTCTTCCGTTGCTTGAAATGCCTTCCGGATCACCTCCACAGACATAGATTGCTGCTCAGATGTAAACCCTGCATCCGAACAAAGCGGTTGAATGAAAACCTGGAGGCCTAAAAAATCATACAAATATAGTCCATGGAAGCCTACATATTAACTTCACCAAAAAGAGTTACTTTACGGCTAGAGGTACACATATTCACGACTTTTTATTACTTAACTATGATATATAAAAGCTAATACATTGCTAGCACTTAGACTCCTCAAAATGCATCTAAGTCAATTTTTATGAATTAGAAGGAAAAGGAAATTAGATTCAGCCCCCCCCCCCCCCC